CCGGTCCCAAGCCCGGATAAAGGAGGAGGGTTTATTTTTTAAAAAAATTGTTTATAAAATGTGTATATTTTATGTTTAATAAAATATAAAAGGGTAAACAAAAAACAAAACTCAACAAATAAAATTTTGTTCTTATTATTTTAAAAAAAATGTAGGAGGGAATTATAGAATGTTAGGAGAAGAAAATTAGAAAAAAAATTAAATTTAAATGAGCCCACGAGCTGAGCGGCTCGTGGGCTTGTCTAGGACGAGCCACGAGCAGGCTTACGGGCACGAGCCCACGAGCTGCTGGAGAGCGGCTCGCCTTGGGCGAGCTCGAGCACAAACCGAGCTTAAGCTAGGCTCATTGGAAACGAGCCACGAGCTCGGCTCGGCCCATTGACATCCCTAGGAGGATCATTAGAAGATCACTTGACTGTATTTAAGGAGATCGTTGCTAATTTAGAAACATTGGAAGTTAAGTATGATGAAGAAGATTTGGCGTTGAACCTATTGTGTTCGTTGTCCGTTTCTCTTTCTTCATTTAGAGACATGATTTTATATAGTCGTGATGCTCTCACCATTGAGGAGGTTTATGATGCTTTATTTTCAAAAGAGAAGATGAAGCATCTGATTTCTGAGACTAGAGATGGAGAGACCTAGTTGCTCAGGGTGGTTCTGGAAGGGGCAGATCGAAATCTAAATTTAGTAATCAAATTTGTAATTACTGCAAGAAGAAATGGCACTTGAAGAAGGATTGCTACAAGTTGCAGAATAAAGGAAAAATGGCTACAAGTAGACATTTAGATATTTCAGGCGAAGCAGACCTCGCGGAGAACATTGATGGAGATCTCTTGGCTATTTTTTATATCGAATGTAAATCAGATGATGATTGGATTCTGGTTTCAGCATGTGTGTTTCACATGTGTCCTAATAAGGACTTGTTTACTACATATGAAACCGTTTTCAAAGGTGTCGTGGTTATGAGAAACAACGCACCTTATCGGGTTGCTAAAATTTGTACGGTTAGATTAAAGTTTTTGGATTGAACAATTAGAACACTTGGCCAGGTTCGGCATGTTCCAGATTTGAAGAAGAATCTCATATCTTTGTCTTTCCTTGATTCAAAAGGTTATGAGTTCTTTGGTGGAGGTGGAGTTTTGAAGGCTTATAAGGGTGCTCGGTTATATTGGAAGGACAAAAAAGGTCTCAGTTATACATTTTGCAGGGTCATGTAGAATTTGAAGGAGTCAATCAACACAGGTTCAGTACAGTGGTGGACATGCAGTATGGTAGAATACCTTTAGGAGCTCATAAATGACCAGATTTGAAGAATACAGCTCAGTGATACCGCTTTGCCACCGTCACCTGTGGTGCCATTGCATTTAGTTGCTAGAGTTAGACCCAGTGGAATAAGGTATATGGATGTTGATTTTGTTGAGCATGCTTTAAGTGAAGATAAAGATGTTCCATCTTGCAATGAGCCTTTATTAGAAGCATTTGGTAATGATTCTACTCTGGGGTGTGTTATAGCCCATTTTAGTTAATTCAAAATCATTATGATTTTTTGGAATTTGAGGTAATTCTGTAGAGTTGTGCTTGAATTCATTGGAAAAGGTGGAGTATCTTGTGTTTGGTTGGACAAATTAATTTTTTGGTTATTGTTGAAGAAGTCAATTCATTTTTTGGTGGAATTCGTGTCAAGGTGGAGATTGTTAGAATTTGGGTGTGACCCGAATTCTTTATTTGAAGTATTGAAAAATTCTAATTGCCGTGAACATCAAGAAGAATTCAAGTTTGGAATGCTATTGGAGTCATATATCAAGTTGAATTTCTATTTTGGAAGCCCATTGGGAGTTTGAAATTGATATTAGACTTGAAAAAGAGTTACAGAATGGAGAAAAACACATTGGAAGCATGTTTTGGAATATTAATCCGAAATCTAGCGCCTGAATGTTGCTACAGTAGCGCCTAGGCGCTGCTACAGTACCTGATTGCGATTTTTTCTCTCATACTTCGTTTTGAACTCAATTTTTTGGCATCCTACTTCATCAACAACTATACTAAAAGGGTTTGGACGTCCCCTATAATATATTAGGCTCTTCTATACAACTTTTGGATAACAATTACGTGTGAGAAAATATATTACTAGAATTATATGATCTATTGTAATTCTATCTTCTCCATTATTTTTGAATCAATAAAATCTCTTAATTCACCATATTCTTGTCTTCTTTTATTATTTTGTTTGATCATATACTTCATTATTATTTATCATATAAGTTCAACATCTCAATCCGATGATTGACGTCGCAACAAGTGGTATCAATCATGACAAAATGATTATTGCTTAATATGATATTTATTATATTATAGATTATGTTGAAACTAGAAAACCACATCAAATGTGATTTGGAAAAGTAGGTTAGCAGGAGGAAAAAGTAAATTAAATTACGTTACCTGACGTGGTCCACTTGACTAGTTGCATTATTGCATAACAGCAGATCCCCCTCCAATAGGGGTCGCCTTTGACCCGGGATTTAATCCCGAGACAACCAGTTTTGTCCATAAAATAAATCAAATATTGGCAAGGCAACATCCTCGTTTCATATATATATTCTGTTTTTCTGACCTAAGAGCAGCTTAATGTACAAGAAAAATAATCCAATCAAATATTGGCAAGGCAACATCCTCGTTTCATATCATGTCATCTGTCTTTCTGACCTAAGAGCAGCTAATGGATTCTCAAGGTGCCACACTCCCTCCTCATGTACTCATTTTTCCGGTGCCAATTCAGGGCCATGTGAAGTCCATGCTCAATCTAGCCGAACTCCTCTGTCTTTCTGGCCTTGACATTACATTCATGGTCTCTGATTTCAGCCACAACCGCCTCCTCAAGCACACCACAGTCGTTTCGCGTTTCAAGCAGTACCCTGGGTTCCGTTTCCAGTCCATCACCGATGGGCTTCCTGATGACCATTCTCGAGCTGGCCAGGAAGTCCTGGATCTCCTGCCTTCTACCAAAAACATAACGGCACCACTATTTAAGCAGATGATGGTTGAGAAGAACTTATTCGCCTCTGAAACCCGAAGGCCAGTTACTTGCATCATAGCTGACGGGTCCCTGCCGTTTGTCGGTGATTTTGCTTTAGAGAAAGGGATTCCCCTCATATATTTTCGTACTATTAGTGCTTGCTCCTTTTGGGCTTATTTTTGTATACCTGAACTCATTGAAGCCGGTGAAATTTCCGTTGAAGGTGTCCACTCTCTTTCCTGATATCTACTCAACCAATCTGTTTAAATTACTCAAAAGAGAGG